TAATGAGTAGTATTTTTAAAAAAATTAATTGCATGTAAGACTACAAAGAAAATAGAATAAAAAATATTAAATTAGATTCAAATGATGTATTAAATCTGCCCAAACCTTAATATCTTATGACTGTGTGATTAGGGTTGTCAAAACAACTCTTTGTTCATGAACGGCTCCCGGTTAGATCGGATGAGTAGTATTTGTTCGTGAACGACTCGTGTTCGGCTCGTTAAGCAAATGAGCCCAACACGAACACATTTTTTGAGCTCGAAATATAAATGAGCGGAATACGAGCTGAGTCTGGGCTGATTTACACCCCTACTTGAGATGAATCAATGGGTGATGATTTGTGAGAATCCAATCAAGAAAAAAATGGATTCACACGTAAATAATATATGTTTTGAGACCCCGATATGTAATAATTGAGGTTTGGGGTCCTCTATTTGTAATTTGAAGGATCGTCCAAACTCCACCCAGTCCTCCACTTCAACTTCATCTCTCTCGACCTCCAAAACCCTCCATGAAATCCTTACAGAACCACGGCCTCTCCATCAAAACCTCTGCTCGCGTCCAAACACTCTCTCCCCATCTCCCAATTTCCATTCCATCTTCTTCCTCCATCAGAAGAATCCCTTCTCCTCCCAAACCTCTCCCATCTCTCTCCTCAAACCTGCAGCCAAACTCCCTCAAACCAAAAATCCCTAGTTTTCTTTCCAATTTTTCTTCTTCTCATCTTACAAATTCACTCGAAACCAAACTTCTCTGCACCGATTCTCCATCTTCGTTCGATCTCTTAGCCGCTCACTTACCCTTACTGGCCGCCGTGTCATTTCCCTCACATTGCTTTGCGGCTGGAACGGAGGGGATGTCTTCTAAGATCAGTGTAGAATCGGTTCTTGCTTTCCTCGACGGTTTCTTTTAAAGATATCCATACTTCGTCGCCAGCCTCGCTTTTGTTTGGCTTGTAGTCATACCATTAGCTCAAGAATACCTGAAAAAGTACAAGTTTATTTCTTCCATTGATGCCTTTCGCAAGCTCAGAGATGATCCTAGTTCTCAGCTGTTGGACATAAGGAAGAAGCAAACTGTGGCTCATTTGAGAACTCCGAATTTGAAGATATTCAATAAAGTTGCAGTGAATCTAGAATTTGTGGAAGGATGTGAGGAGGAGTTTATAAAGGAGGTACTGAAGAGCTTCCAAGATCCTGGGAATACAATCCTATGTGTGCTGGACAAGTGAGTTTAGATTCTATCACCATAAAGTCTTAACCGCTCTGTCATATAATATTTTCCTTCTATGTTGTTTTTTGTTTTCATAAACAAAAGATCTGAATCTTATTGCTGTCTCTGCTGCAAAAAAAAAAAAAAAAAAAAAAAAAAAAAGACTT